CTGGTGCCCCATTGCTCAGAGGAGGAGATGACTAGACTCCAGATTATTGAAGCTCAGCATGCAGTTTTGATTGTAGGGTCGCTTATGAGTGCTGGGCTTAAATTTTTCTCTTTATTTTAGGAAACAGATTACTAACGCATTTTGGTTTTGACCCTCAAAATACTTAGGACCAAATTCTGCCCTTGAATGCATGTGGGAGGCTCCATCTGATGTCAATGAAGCAGCATGTCCATAACCAAAGGCAGCATTAGAGCCATACAAAGCACCAAGGAAGAGCTTTTGATCTAGTTTTAAACCTATGAATATTCACCAATTATATTTTAAATTTTCCCCTCTTCTTTCCTTAACCTGGCATAAAAGAACAATTTGAGTTCAAAATCAAATGGTTTTTGTCTTCCAATTAAAGACAGTCCACAGACATATTGATAGCTTCTGCCAGTTGGAATAGAGAAAAAAGTTGTTAAAGTTCAAAGGCCAAATTCTGATCTCAGCTTTATAAATGAACTCAGGCCAACTTCAGCCCTGGTCTAATATGCTGTAACGCCAATGAAGTCAATGAAATCTCACTGAAAGGCCCAATTTTGACCCATGAGAAGTACACCTCTGTAACAGAGGGTAGCATGTAGCCCCAAGATAAGGGCCAATTTTGACCATCAGGCACCATTATAATTTCATCTCTATCAATGTTTTCAACAGCAAAATGTCAGTAATTGTAGGCCTGATCCAAAGTCTATTGAAATGAATGGGAGGTCTTCCCCTTGGAACATCAGGCCCTATATGAATTTAAAACAAAGTCATTCTAAGGCTAGTTTATAATAATTCTGTACTCCTTTTATGGTGATATGAATAGTACGAATATCACAATCTCTGCTGACAAATAACCTATATATTCAATAATCTGAGCCCCATTCTAAATAGTTTACAATCATGAGCAAACCAGTGCCCATGTTTTTAAAAAAGTACACAATATATTTACAATAAAAACATGATAAAGGTTCCAAAGGATCAGTAAGAGATTGGACTGATTTGGATCTGTCTTGTCTTAGCAGATATTTTCAATTTGAGGAACAACATTTCTGCATTTTGAGTTGCTTCTCTATTTGAAGCGCATATTTACTGCCACATTCAACCAACTGTCCATATTTTTAGCTGGGTAACATGATCAAAGTTGGTTTTGAATTTAGGGCATGATCTTGTGAGAGGCTAATGGCTTGTCTCCACTGCGCAGTGGGTCAATGCTGCAGCAATCAAGCCACCGGACAATGATGTATCATGTCTGCTCTATCGCCAAGGGTTCCCCTCGAATCTGGTACTCCATCAGGGTGAGAAGAGTAGCCAGAGTTGACGGGAGAGCAGCTGCCACAACCCTTACCACACCAAAGATGCTGCAGTAAGTATGCTGCGTAGCTGAAGTTGCGTATATTAGATTAGATCAATGGCAGGAGTTAATGTAGACAAGGTCTAAATATCTTTTACAAAGTGCTAAACATTCTTATTCCATTGACTTTGATCCATCAGTTTGCCCTTTAGTTTTTCCTAGGCATACTGATGGCTTTCTGTTAATTGCAGGCCTGAGACCTTAGTAAGTAAAAATATGGCTTCTGCTACCATAAAAATTGCTTTGCAGAGACCCAGATGAACTATTTTTGTTTGTTTATTCTTTTAGATTACTGCAGTTGCAGTAGAGAAGTCATACTCATGTTTAATATTTCCACATTTTGCTAGGTTGGGCATTTTTTACACTACAAAGAAACTACTGAAGTACACAGATCTAGTCTTGCTTTGTTCTTCACTGTAGAAAGAATCAGCCGAAGCAGTTGTCCCAAATGCAAATCTATTGAAAATAATGGAATTAGAAAGTCATGACAAGTATAAGAGGAGTAGCCATGTTAGTCTGTGTCTGCAAAAACAATGAGGAATCCAGTAGCACCTTAAAGACTGAGGGTATGTCTACACTACAAAGTTAGTTCGAACTAACTTTCATAGGCGCTACACTAGCGCTCCGTTAGTTCGAATTAAATTCGAACTAACGGAGCGCTTAGTTCGAACTAGGTAATCCTCATTCCACGAGGATTAAGCCTCGATCAAACTTACTAGTTCGAATTAAGGGCTGTGTAGACCCTTAATTCGACCTAGTGGGAGGCTAGCCCTCCCCAGGTTTCCCTGGTGGCCACTCTGGCCAACACCAGGGAAACTCTACTGCCCCCCTCCCGGCCCCGGACC